CCAGCTCACACGACCAGAAAAAAATGGTTGAAAAGCTTTTCCCCAGCGTGGCTAATAGGGAATTTTGCAGCCCCGGAGCCGGCGTGGCGCAGAGGCGGCGGCCGCCCCTCGCCGCAGGGATCCCCGAGCTGCGGCACAGCCGGGCGGGTCTGTGCCGGGCCGGCCGGGAACAGATGGCTCCAGAGAGTGCTGACCTCAGCGCCTTGGCTGAGCACAGCCCCGTAACCCACCCTCGCTTCTTGCTGTCCCGGGCACATCCCTCTCGTGCTCCTCCCCTCCAGATCCATCCCCAGCCCTGGGCAGGGATGGAGAACGCGTTGGCAGAGCGAGCTCTGGGGTCACTGGAGCGGGGTACCAGCCCCGCTTCACTTAAAAGATAAATTCATCCCTACTTCAGAGCACCCCAAGCTCGTCCTTGACTCCAGACCCACCTCAGCCTCATGGTTTCCATGCCCAGCCTTACAGATCCAGCCTTGCCAGGGTTCTGCACTTGCCAAGGTCTTGCTCATGGCTGAAGGGTCAGATAGCAGTGCTGCAAGTCCAGATGTTTTCCCTCTGCTTGGGATGAATGACTTTGGGACTGCATGAGCTCATTTCTCAGTGTAGGAGATGCAAACTCCAGGCAGCTGTTTCCAGGAGTTATTTAGGGATACGACAGCGGCAAATGAAGTTGTTGGCTGGTGATGGCTGGTTATGGCCCAGAAAAAAAGTGATTTCCTTCCTTCCTGGGAAATTTCCATTTCCAGCAGTTTTGTCTGCCTCATTCCCAACCTCTGGGGCAGCCCTGCAGGCACATGCCACCCCAGGGGGAGGAATTAACCCTGCAGGGATAAAACCATCCCTGTTTATTTTTGCTCCATTAATTACTCAGAGGGAAGGACATGGTGGCAGCGGAGCTGTGCCAGGTTGGAGCTGCACCAGATCCGTGCCAGGCATGCACCATGCACAGCACCATCCCCATGACTCCTGTCCCACCTTTCTCCTTGCTCCACTCTCTGCTTTGGTTGCTTTTATGGCTGCTGGGATCCAAGATACCGGCCAGACCTGTGTGGTTGTTTAAGCACTGAAGCCTGAATTCTTTGGGGGATGGAGCAGACAGGGGAGTTGGGGAAGGAGGGGTGGCCCTGGCAGCTCAAGGTGGCACAGCATGGAGGAAGATGATCTACACCTATATTTCCATCTTAAGTGAGACCCAACAGGACAGGGACAGGAATAGGAGCACCTGAGCTCAGACCTTAATTTTTGACCAGACTTCTTGGGAAGGAGAGGTTGGCAGCCAACAGGAAGGACTGAGATGGATGCAGTGCCAGGATGAAAGCAGGGCAGGGAATGGGTGTAGGTCCATGGCCAAATCCCATTTGTCACAGGTGTCACCTGCACGACTCAGCTCTGGCAGAGGGACCTGTGGGCATCTGCTGTCAGCTGCCTTAGCGGGGTGCAGATGCCTGTGGGGACAGCCCAAGAGGGCTGTGTCACCCAGATGCCACCCTACCTGCCCAGGGACAGCTCTGGCTCTGTGCTGGCAGTGCACAGATGCAAGTCCTCTCCTTCCCCAGTGCTGGTTTAGGATGCACACGGGTCAGAAACCTGACACGGATTTTCTCCCAGGCACAAGAAGCTGATGCTGGGGTTTGCCTCACAGAGCTGGAGATCCCAAAGTCTTGGAGTGCTGCTCTCCTGGCTGGGGCTGGTGCTTTGAGCAGGGTCTGGGTTGTGGGTTTATGCTGGAGGTGGGGGTTCCCAGGAGCTCTGCAAGGCTGGAGTTCTGGGGAGCCAGAACGGAGGGGGCTGGGGCAGGATGTGGGGCTTTAGCCCAGTTTAGGATGTGAGATGCCAGTGGGGTTGCAGTGGGCTCTGAGGAGTCTGCATGGAGCTCAGGGCACTTCTCTGCCAGGTGTTGGCCTGGGTGGGCCAGTGCAAACCTGGACAAACATCAGGATCCCAACGTGAGCCTTCCCCATTCTCCTTGCTCCCTCAGCCTGACTGCCAGCGAGCTCTTCCCTGCAGGAGGTGGCTGCACACCAGGAGCTGTCAGAGCACCATGCCTTGCATTTATCAACCTGCTTGCAGAGCCTCCTGCAAGAGGAGATGCCAGGCAAAGGTAACGAGGCAATGGAGAAGCTGGCTGAGCTCCCTCTTGCTGGGACTGTGCCGTGGTTAAGGGACCAGCTGGGACACCGAGGGCTGCACACTGGGCCACCACCACAGCAGTGGGAAGGGGGAGGATGAAGGTGGGGAAAGGCACTTGGTGCCTCTGTTGTCCCCACCCAACCCTAAAAGCTGGGCAAAGAGGGCACAGCATCCCCTGAGAGAGTGGCACTAAGGAGCTGGGGAAGAGAAAAGTGCAGCTGCATTTCCTGGGGTTGTGGGCTTCATCCTGGGGTGCCAGTGGTGCTCCTGTTTCAACCTGGACCTTTGTAGCCATCAGGGCACTTTTTAAAAAATTCTTCTTTTTATTTATTTAATATTTTTTAATATAGAAAGGACATTAGGTGTTTAAATGCACAAATAAATTATTTTGATGATGCAGAACAGCTCCCACAAGCTGCATCATGTGTCTGGTGACCCAGACCCAGCAGCAGGTTGGATTTGGAAACTCACTGCCTTCTCCCAGAAAAAAAAAATCTTGGGGGTTTTGTTTTTGAAGACATTGAAGGACTTTGCCAGGAAATCTGCAAAATTGCAGCTGGGCTCTCAGGGCTGTTGCTCACTGCAAGCCACTGGACCCAATGGAGAGGAAATGTGGCTGGGGGGCCTGGCATGAAAGTGTCACCACCAATCCTTGCCCTCCACTGCTTGTCCCCACTTCCAGACACTTTCCAGCTGTGCCCAGTGGTGGACCAGACTTGGGGTTGTCTCTGTCTCTGTGGGGATTGGGCTGTGATGGGGATTAAATGTGGGAATGCTGGGGAGCCATGGATGTGATGGTGAAGCTGGTATTGTCCCAGTATGGGGTTGCTGCGCTCCCCTCAATCCAACTGGAAGCTCTGCTGGGAATATTTGTGAGCCAAGACCCTCTGAGGGATCCAGTCCACGGAGCAGCCAGTCCTGGGAGAGATAAATGAAGACCCTGAGCTGCTGGAGGAATAATAAAGGCATGGAAACAGCTCAGTGCTTCTGTGCCAGCCCCAAAGGACCAGATCCCTGGAAAACTGGTCCCACAGGTTCCATCACACGGATCATGAAGGCAGCAGAAAGGGTTAAATGCAGCCACTGCCTCCTTCAACCTTAAACCCAAGACTGGCCCTTTTGTTGAACTGGGAGAAGGATTTGAGGTGTTGAGGACCTGTTGCCAACCCTTCAATCTCTCTTTGGGCAAGAGAGTGGGCAGTGCTGTGAGAATGAGGCAGAGGTGGGCAGGACATGGCAGCAGGTCCCCAGGACAGGCCAGATCCTGCATCCCCCCTGCCCT